TTTCAGATGCTGGTGGGAGCTGCACCGTGTACTTGAACTGATCTGCACTACGACACCAGGTAAGTCCTAATATTTTTGTACTATCGCTTAATATTTCCTTTTCGTCCTTCCTTTCATATGACTCGATTTCCCCTAATAATTCCGAACTGTTGCTGTTCCATTTTTGTAGTTCAAATCCTGCTTTTGCTAATAATGCCTTCATTTCAAAATACAAATTTTTACCTTCTTCTATTGTGGAACATCCTGTCATTAAATCATCCATATAAAAGCTTGTTGGCACTATTTCAGATGCCGTGGGAAATTCTTGCACATAGTCCAATGCGACCTGGTGCAATGTCTTGACCGCCAAATAAGGAGCTGAAGCTGTACCAAAGGTTACAGTTAATAGCTCATACTCTTGCATTTCTTCATGTGGCTCTTTTCGCCAAACTATTCTCTGATATTTTACATCGTTTTCTGCTACTCTCACTTGTCGGTACATTTTTATTATGTCTGCAGTAATTGCTATTTGGTGAACTCTCCAGCGAAGGACGATATGCCGCAAATCCGACTGCAAGGTAGGTCCCACCATCAACGTGTCGTTAAGTGACACTCCCCTTTCATTCTTGCAGGATGCGTCGAACACTACGCGTACCTTCGTTGTGGATTTATCTTCTCTGACAACTGCGTGATGAGGTAAGTAAGCTGCTTCATTGAACTTTGTGTCTGGTTTCTGTACTTTTCTCATGTGATTCAAATGTAAATATTCTTCTATAACTTTCGTGTATCTTTCTTTCAGGTTTGAATCCTTCGTGAATTTTCTCTCCAATGCCTTGAGTCTTCTTACAGCTATTTCTTTACTGTTACCACCCCGCAGGTGGGCGTTGCTTCCTTAAATGGTAACTTGACTACGTATCGACCGTCTGCGCATCTTGTAGTCGTAGCTTTATATAACTCTTCACATTTTAACTCTTGTTCTGTTAACGTAATACTTTGTGGCAACTGATCTTCAATCTCCCAGAACTTCTTCAGAATATCGTTTTGGTCCATTGCTGTATGCATGACTGTGATATTTGCGATGTTACTCGACCTAGTTTCTGTTTCACCAGAAATTATCCAACCTAGCGTGGTACACTGCGCTACTACTGATCCATTAGGCGCTCTCCTTAAACCATCTTTTAGTATCTTACCATACACGTCTGCACCCAATAAAATATCTATCCTATTAGGTGAAGAAAACTGTGGGTCTGCCAACGTAAGTTGCTTTAATTCCGACCAATCAAGAGGGGCTACTTGTCGTTCCGGTATATATGATGTAATATTTTTTAAAACATACGTGTTTACCATTATTGTAAAACTAGGATCAGCTAACGATTTTAATGTCAATGTTACAACTGAATTCGCGGGTGACTTGACACTACCTAGACCAGAAACAATGCTTCTAACTGGAGTTCTCTTTAATCGTAAAAATTGTGCTGTACTTTCCGTGATAAAGGAAGCCTGGGACCCCTGGTCTAACAAGGCCCGAACTGTCTGAAATTCTGCTGTGGCAGTTTGAACTTGAACTAACGCAGTAGCTAACAATACCTGTTTAGGACTGACGATGTGTTTAGTCGATAGACATGACACAACTGGACTGTTATCAGTGGAAGTATTATAAGAGGAGCTAGCAGCTGTTTGCTTATCTTCCTTAGCGTTATGTTCATAATTAGCGTGTAAGAGAGTGTGGTGTTTCTTGCCGCAAATATGACATACCGCTGTTTTCTTACATTGATAAACTAAATGGTTTCCGCCTAAACAGTTAAAACAAATTTTATTTGACTTTGCAAAAGATCTTCGTTCATCTACATTAATTTTTGTAAACGGTACACAAAAGCATAACTTATGGTTGTTGCCGCAAAATTCACAACTAATCTTAAATTGGCCAGATGGTCCAGGATTAACGTTCCGAGCGAGCAAAGTTTTCTGACCTGATAATCTTTCTGTACGTGGACCAGCTCGCCACTGACCCGATGGTCGCTGTGGTTCAATGAACTCAAGTGCTCTAAACCGACTCTCCAGATATATTTTAAACTGTTCTAGAGTTGGAAGTTCAACTGTTGATTCGTCGGAAGCCTTCAACTCCCACTGCTTACGGGTCTCTGGGTCCAACTTTTCAGAGACTACGTGAATTACAATAATTTCCACAATGGTGGTCATGCTAATCCCTAGGTTAGAGAATGCACTCATACAGTCTGTGGTTGTATCCAGTATTTGTTTAATATTAACCGCAGATTCAGTATTTACTCGTTTTTGGTTGAATAGCCGTTGCAGAATGGAATTTGCCAAGTGTCGCTTATTGTTATACCGATGCTCCAATTGCTTCCAACATACTGAGTAATTCGCAGCAGTAATTGGTATTTGACGAAGCAACTGCTCTGCTTCACCGGTCAAACATCCCTTCAAATAATGTAACCTCTGTACGTCATCTAAACCTTTATTGGAATGAACTAGCGAAATAAAAAGATCACTAAAACTAGTCCATTCATCGTATTTGCCCGAAAATGAAGGAACATTAATTTTTTGTAACCTAACGTTCGAAGCAGAATAGGTTCGTGTACAAGGTTCGTTTATGTTAAACTGTAAATTACTGTCTTTTAACTCTGACTTGTACGTTAAATAAATTTCCTCTGTCTTATCATACAATTCGGATGTAAAATAATTGTTTTTCAAATCTGTTACGGTGGCTTTTTCAATTATTTTCCGATGTGTATCATAAAATCTAGACCATTGCTGCTCTAGATTTTCCAATCTAGTTTCTACATATCCACGAGTTACTCGTTCTTTGGGAGATTTTTTGAAATTACTTCTCCCCTTTTCAATACTACTTTTTACATCATCTTGTAGTTTAAATAAAGATTCCATGGCAATGACTTAGAAAACAATTCAATAAAGCCAACAACGTATTCGAACAATCTGTTCTAACAACTAACAAAGTGAACTTACAAAATATGTTGCATTGCATACGAACATAACAAGTTATTTCAGACTATCAAATAATAAAACATTAAATTAATAAAACGTAAATTGCCTAGTTACTTAACTAAAATTATTCTAAGTAATTATAAAATAACTGTCTTCCCTCTGATGACCTTCTTGAACTATGTTTATAAATTATGTTGAATTGTACTCACAACACTTCACTGAACTTTGACCTCGTACTGATGCTCCTCCACTCGAACTCTCCCGGCTCCACCTCTCGAACTCTCCCGGCTCCACCACTCGAACTCACCTGGCTCCACCACTCGAACTTCGCCGCAACCTCCGCTCCGGTGTGCTCGTACTGGGTGTTGAACCCGGTGCCACAACTCACCAGCACCTTGGCGCCATCAGCAGTGGATCCACTACTGTGTTGGCACGGCACCCTCTCGGCAACCACTCACTGTGACTACGTCACATCCGACTCACAAGGACCAATGTATACTTTGGTCACGGCGCACTAGAACTTTACAACTACTGCCAATCTGGCTGAACAGGGTTTTCTTCAGGGATACTACACAATCACACCACTGTTTTACGTACTTTGAACTGTATATTGTTATTACCACTTAGGTACAATCTTCTTGCGATCTACTTTCGAACTGAACAATCATAAAACATTCGCCGAGGGTCATTCAACGGCGGAGAATCTTAACACCGCGATTCAGAAAATGGACTAAAACTAACAACACCATCTAGTTACAAAATTGGAACTAAAACTCTATTTGACACAGATTCAAATTTCGGTTGACGTTTGAACAACCACTCGGCCAAAGAGGCAGTCATTTTGGATGGAACTTGTGTTAAAATTCAAAGTCAATGAACAAAGTTTCTATTTCGTGCAAGTACTGGATCAAGTGCACTTGCCAAATCAAACGGGTCACAGCAATGCCACAGCGTGCCGCGGCGCTCGGTCAACGGGGACGTAGATATAAATGTTTGCACAGAGAGTAGGTAACTGTAGTCCAGCAACTGGGGCTTAATGAAAACCAGTACTAATTCTTCATACTTCATAGATGATGATGTAGTATTGTTCCATTCCAGGTGCTCTTGTCATATTTTTTATTTATTTACTAGCTACTTGCGCGCGGTTTCACCCGCTCTGCTCGGCTCCTATTACTCGTAGCGAGATGTTTTATAGCTTATAGCCTTCCTTGATTAATGGACTATCCAACACAAAAATAATTATTCAATTCGAATCAGTAGTTTCCGAGATTAGCGTGTTCAAAAAAACAAATAAAAAAGACAAACTCTTCAGTCTTATAATATTAGTATTGATTTAAATTCACAACAGTGTACAACTTAATATGTACTTTATGCCTTGTATCTACCTATAAGAAGTTTTTTCTCTTAAAACGTCCATCACAAACTTACAGCTGTACAGTTTCGTAACGGCAGATAACAATATTTTTACTACGGGTGTTGTAATAGTTTAAAGCCTACTGTCCACGACACGTCATTTCTAGGTGACTTTTGTTATTTGTATGTTGCATGCATTCGTACAGTATGTCTTGGAGATCACGCTAAACGTAGACAAAGATCGGGCGATAGCGTTGACAAAGATGGTAAACTGTCGTATGTAGAAGGGGCACCAGTGGCTTAAAACTGGGATAGCCTTTTGCAAAAACGTTGCCCCACACTAGCATTATCTTCAGTGTCGTAGGTGCGTTTACAAACATACAAGTTCACATACACATGACACCCAGACCCGAAACAACAATCTGTGGATCACACAAAGTGTTGCCAAGTGTTGCCCAGCCACCGCACCAATCGTGCAGTCAGCGTTAGACTTGAAGTACTTGTTTTAAATAAAAACGTTACTCCACACTAGAATTTTCTCCTGTGCCGTGGGTGCGTTTATACAAGTTCATATACTCATGACACCCAAACCAGATACAACAATTTGCACCAAGCGATGAACTGTGCGGGAATCAAATGTAGTGCACAATAATACATTACATAGTACCAAATAGATTTTAAAATATATTTTTGATTACCCCCAGGAAAAAGATTTACAAGCCAACCAACGTGAGATGGACCTAGCCATGCAGCTCAGTGACTGTCTCTCCGTAGTCCTGGACGGAGTGCTCTGCTCCTCACGACTGTACAACGATGGCAAGAAGGACAACTCCAAGGAGGAATCAGAAATGCTCTCTACACTGAGAGGCCGAGCTCATATGTTGATCAGGTAAGTCAATAGAGTTAGTAATTTTATTGTTTTCAGGACCGTAGGATTTTCAGGATTTTTTTCTGCCACAAGAACCTTCTCCTGACGATAACAAACACAACAAAAAAAATCTGCCAAATCGGTCTAGCCGTTGTCAAGTTATGGCGTGACAACGGGAAACGGGTTTCATTTTTATATGTACGCTTATAGTTCTGGAGGTACCCCGAGTGCGTAGCTGGCTTTCTTTGGAATGCTCATTCGAAAATTGTTTCGGTTTTTTTTATATTTGATGGGCCGACGTTTGGCCACTATCTCCACTGGTCTGCCTATAAGCAACCTATTCACTCGGGCCTTAAAGACACCCAGGTTATACTCTTCAGTAAACGTAGGACGCACAAGGAAACTTGAACTACCATGAATCGGTGACGCTTCGCCGATTGTCTTGTGGTACGATGATGGAAAGGACTAGGGGGAAACAAGTTGTGCAATTCCCCCGCACACTCACTCTGCCTGCCTCGTTGGCCGAGTGGTCGCAAATGCGACTGCCGGGCAAGGGGTCTCGGGTTCGATTCCCGGGTCGGGCAAAGTATTACTGGGTTTTTTAAAAACTCAGTAGTAGCACGGAGTCTGGACATGTGCCCGGTATATGGCAATAGGCTCACCCCCTATTACATAAATAGTGAAAAGTGGGTGTTACTTCTGTGTGCACCTCTGCCTACCCCTTCGGGGATAAAAGACGTGATGTTATGTAAAATGTTGACGTTTATGTTAGTCTAATTTTAACATAGACATTTTGATGAAAAATCGATCAAATCAATCGTCATGCCATCGAAAGACAGCATGCATATAATAATAAACACATAAACAAGTTTACTCCCCAATAACAACAAAAATACACTCCTACACGCATATAAACGCAAGTAAACACTTAAACTTACCTACTTAATATTTTTACGGAAGGAAAAATAATAAAAAAGCGGTTGCCATTTCGCGCAGTGGCGCCCTCTGCGAAAATTACGGGGGTCGCCGAGGACGCATCACACAAATTAGATTATGATCTAGTAAATGGATAGAGCGATCTCGAATGTGCAGACGTAGTTTTTGAGATGGTTTTTTATGTATTTTCTATTTACTCACAGTTTTATGTAGTAAATAGTTTTAGTAGAAGATTAGGTTGTAAAACTTTTCTAGTACTTATCTCTATACCAAAATTAGTTTATGTGTAAGAAATAAAGTGATTTTCTTACTTCTAACCTATGAGAAAGCGAACTTCGACCTTCCTCTGTGGGATTGTCATAATCTTAACACTTGACTACTGGCAGGCGAGTTGAAGATAGAATTTTGTAAGTACACAAGTGAATTTCGGTTGAGTTAGCCTCACGCCTGTCTCCTATAGGGGGCAAAGACTATGGAACGCCAATACGGTAGTTGACAACTAGACAAATTCAATACTTTTATCGAAACATCAAAAACGATACTGTTCTATGAATTTTGTACCAAATACTAGCTTATGACGTCATCATATTTTCGCGTCAAATATCATACTTATATCTAAAAAAAATCTATTAACGTGGTGGCCCGGAGGTTTAAGACGCCTGCTTCTCATGCATGAGGGTGCGGGTTCGAAACCTACCAACTGCAAGTACCTATGTAACTTTTTCCGAGTTATATTTACTTTCCAAGATTATTCAGACACCACTGACAAACGGTGAAGGAAAACATCGTGAGGAAACCTGGGCTTATAATTTCTAATTATAAGTTTGTAATCGCCAACCCACATTGAGCAAGCGTGGTGATTAATGCTCAAACCTTCTCCGTGTGAGAAGAGGCTTTGCTCAGTAGTGGGCATTTATAGGCTGTGGATGATTATCTAAAAAAAATGCTAGAATAAATCGAAAATAAGGTATATCGAGAAGTCAATGTATAAAAGTGTAACTATTTTTCAATATTTAATTGGACTGAAAAATCAAATTATTTTTATTTTTGACGAAGAAACTACCCAATTGCTACGGTTCTTACATACATCTTTTGCTTCCTCAACAGTCATCATTTCATTTATTTCATTTATTTATTCTTTAACAATTATTACATTGTGTTTGAATTTGTACAATACACCTATATTCTAAAAATTATACATGCAATCATCAGTCGTTTTATGCATGCTCTTCGGTTAAGGTTACCAAATGATGAGCAGACGGATCACCTGATGATAAGAGGAGGCACAGTCACACACCAGTTCTTCTATAAAAACTAATACTAACCCAACCTTGTCAACAAACATTTGCGCCAACCTTTCGACCCAACATTCAACATGTCAGATATAATTCAGAAAAAGCATTTAATCACTTAAAACGCTGACTCGTCAGGGTAGAACAATGGCTTGGTTTTGACACCCAGTGCTATGTTGCCGGTGACGAGCGAAGTCGGGGGATGTAATACTTGTATGTGTTAATTAAACGCGATGGGTTTTAAATGGGGTCTTGTAATTTTTGGGCTAAGTTGGGCTTGGCTAGAGTGATGTGTAATCTTCATGTTGAATTTAGTCTTGTAGAATGGAAATTGTTCGTTTTTAGGCTATTTATTGTCGGGTTTCGGTTTTTCCTTAATTCAGTATGTTAAGTGTTTTTTTTGGTACTTATTTTTATTTATTTTATTTTATAGATAAAGTCATTGATTACTCTTATTATTTTTTTACGTTTTCTTCTTCTTCAATAAAGTTTTTAGTCTTTTTAGTCGTAAAGTTGGCAGACTAACTTCATATAGATTATAGCATTGGTAGATTTTTACTTTACATACCGAATTTTTAGTACAAAGTCCATACTTAAAGACTCCATAGTCATCAATATGTCCTGTCTATAGTATTCGGTGCCCTTATTATTATTAAATTACTTACAAAAACTCATCCCTAATTCCTAGGTCTATTATTTTATGAATTTATCAAATTTTCGCAATATATCTACTAATCTGTATTTACACATGAAACAGGCTTGGACCTAGTTCAGGTTTTAGACTTTCTTTTGATTTATTTTTTAATCTGGCTTTTTACACCAAATAAACATTTTATTTTATTTTTTTTATTATTACACATACGATCAAAAACAAATATCCACTTTGTTTTCTTTAATGCGTTAATATATAGAAAGCTAGTACGTAGAGTAATTACAAGGGTATTTCGTTTAATTAAACACGATGACATTTAATACAGTTGACCGGCTCCAGTATTATGTGCCAAGCAGTACAGTACCTACGGTGCAGCGCTTACAATGCACGCCGCCACTCCATTGTGTCCATATGTCCTGTTCCACTTGCATCTCAGTATTAAATGCTGTGACACGGCATATGTAGTGACAGAGGGTTGAATTAGCGTTGATGATTCTGTACAAGAGTAACCTTTGGAGTTTCTTGCTCGTTCTTCTCCATAGGAATCTACAACTTGGTATGAGTGAGATTGACGTTCAAAAGTGGCTTAGTGGTAAATGATTTTGACTTGACTTTGCAGAAAAATTGTGTAAGTTGTGAGAGGTACTCTATCGTAGACCGTATCATCGCTTACCACTAGGCGAGATAGTGGCCAAACATCGACCCATCAAATTAATATTAAAGAAAGAAAACAAGAGGATCTTCTATCTGCCTTGCGAAAACGTGGTGTGCACTTTTCAATGTACCATAACAAAAATAAAACCAAAACAAATTAAGTACTTAAAATATTCTGCTTCGTTGGCCGAGTGGTCGCGAATTCGACTGCCTGGCAATGGGTCTCGGATTCGATCCCCGGGTCAAGCAAAGTATTACTGGGTTTTTAAAAATCTCAGTAGTAGCACAGAGTCTGGAAATCCCGGTATATGGCAATAGGCTCACCGCCTATTACATGGGACTCATAAATAGTGAAAAGTGGGTGTTAAATTCCCTCCAAGGATAAAAAAGGCGTGATGTTATGTTAAAATATTCCTAAAAGATACATAATGTAATCAATTCCTCCTCTATTATTTCTATTTGCAACATTTCAATCATGCGGCTCAAGCCCAGATCATATCAGAACTAGTAACATAATTAAATTAAAACAGAATTACAGTCGCGTGCACTCTGCGTCCCCTACTCCGTGGCGCGAGGGTTGTGACATCGATACTCGGTAGATTACAGACGATTATCGATTCAATCGGATACCGGCACATTTAGGGTTGTAAGATGTAATAAATTAGCGGCGTTTGTTGCCATATGTGACGATTGATATCGGGTGGATTAGATTTGTTTGGTTTAACTTTGTATTTGGTTATGCTTATGAGTTTATGACTTTGGGTTATTTTTTAAATATAGTTCGAATTTGGATCCTAAATGATTGGTTTATAGTGAGTTCAGAAGTCATACACGTCTCACAAAATTCCTATTCTACACTGATGAAGTCGCGGGCAACGGCTAGTAATTACAATAATTATCTTCATCTTTAATAGAGTTTTTAGTCTGTTTTGGGAATTGCAATTCTAAGTTTCCTTTGAAACGATTTTCTACGAAATTTTTAGATCAGGCAGCATCCATTTGACAAATCAAAAGTATGTGCTACATAACAATTAAATTAAAAGCCTCAATAATTTCCCTTCAAGCTACAAACTCAGCCACAATTACTTAGTGCCTATTGCCAGCCCTGTATGAAAGGGTTTCAAAGAGCTACTCGTAACGAGTGCCGTATCGAGAACCATTCGTAAGTGAACAGGAATCGAATTAAACTCTCGAGCAGTACTCGATAACATCGTTAAGTTCTCGGGAATGCTGAGATTTTGATTTGATGCTGCCTTTTCTATTTTCAAATGGAGCGTTCCAATTGGCAAGCTTTCAGAATATCGATTAGTGTTTTTGAGTTTTGTTGTAGTTGTGAGGTTTTTTCGGTCATTGTAATTGAATCGTCTATCAAAGAGAGTTCAGTGGATGATTTTATTGTTGATTGTTGCCGGTGCTCTTGTAAAAAGTGGTTGAAAGTTGGACTAAACTTTCATAGCCTATCCAATACCATTCATTAAGTTTTGGAC